CAATCCGAGACTCTCATGACTCTCATGGTTACACATTTGTTGCATTTATTTATTTATTTGCTGAATGCTGCGAAAATTATATTTGTCGAGCCCCTTTGCCGCCATTCCAGCCACTCTCGAGTGTCATTCGTTTTGATTGCGATTGCTTCTTGTGGCCAGCCGCACAAATCACTTCAAAAAATTGTCGAGCACATCGTCAGAGCAGGAGGACGAGCAGCGTTGTCGGTGGGCAGGGCTGGGCAGGGCAGGGCAGGCAAAGCAAATGACAATCTTTTGTGTTTGCCCAATAGCGTGTGCAATTTTCGCACTATAAAAATATAACAGAACCGTGCAGAAAAAAAAGAATGAATTATGCTGTCAATTAACTTGTCTGCAAAGTTAAGAGCTTTTCATTAGGGAATGCACAAGAATGAATGCAAAACGTGAAATGGGTAATTGAAAATTATTAAATTTTCACAGCTGGAGCTATGGGAGGGGAAAGTGTCATTGAGGGATTTTAATATGTGCCTATTGGGGTGGTACTTGGTAGGAAAAAGAGGAGACTGTTCTGTAGATCTAACGAGAATCATCGTAGTCTCACAAAACTTAAATTATATATTTTTAGAATTATTATTTGCTGTTCACTTCTGATTATATTTTTAAACAAATTCTGAAACATTATTACAAGATGCATCCCGACATAGTATCCTTTCAGTACAGCCATCACCTGAGAAATCAGATATGTAAAACTAATTATGATAATGTTTTCTGCAACTTTAATTTACAATTTTCGCTTAAGAGATTTCCCAAGAATATCTTTAGATTCTCTTCCCAAGATAATCATAGTTTAAAGTGCTGGAAATAAACTCTAAAAATCCCTAATTGAGGGAAAGGTAATGAGATTAAAAAAACACACACAATTTAAAGTGTTTAGGGATTAATGGTGCCAACAATGACAGAAAGGATGCCGCCGCCTCAGTCCTCACAAGTGAAATGGATCTTATCGAACTGTTGGTCAAAAGTGCTTGCCTCCCTATTGTAAGAATCAAAAGACACATGATGTCAGACACTCTTCCAGGAAGAGTCCAACAATTGTAGGAAGAAACCTTTCTCCCACAGTAGCTCATCAAGGAGCTATAAAAATAGAATCCAAATTAGATCTAGAAAATTAGTCGCAATTAGAGACAAATTTTGTGAACTCTTTTTTGGTCAGATAAGAAATGCCAAAAAGGAGGAGAAGCGATCGGTTTTAATTGCATCACTCTCCGGCTCCGTCTCCGTCTCCGGGAAATAAACAAATGATATCAGATCGATCGAGAGAGTTTTACGAGCGCGTGTCAGAGGCTGAGTCTGGGGTGAAAGCAGGCCGGGAATGGGAACTGGATTGGGATGGCAGTGGAGTGATGTGGTATGGCTGGATCAACATGCTACAGGTAGACCAAATCCATTCCGAATCCATCTATGCTATATTCGACGAAAGGATAAAGGAGCGGGTCGTAAACCGAATCCATATTCAACAATGTTTTGGGTTTACGACCTCGCCCCGTCGCCCATTGTGGATCGCTGATCGCGCTCTCATTGTGCATTGTGCATTGTGATGTCTGCTCTACATATAGACCAGACGATTTATCTTTTATTATAGGTAAACACAGAGCACAGGCACAGGCACAACAGCCCTAAACGCCCGTCTAATCCAAGGCCAAGGATGAGCTGCCTTGCCACTCTGCACTCTCCTCCTCCCGGAGGAAAAATCAAATTTTTATGATCCGCTGCGCTCCTTTGCGGAAACATTTGAAAAGCCATAAAATCCACGAGCACACAACCCTATGACGCGGGTCAGGGTTGCTTTGCTACATAGGGTATGTATAGGGGTCGCGACCTGAACACGAGTATGGTGTATCCATAAACTGATTGCATTTTCATTTCTTCATGATTTTATGGCAGTTGCATTTGTTTTTCTTCTGTAAAAATTGTTTCAATTTTTCCCGAGTTTTATGGGTTTTCTATTGAAACAATGCCACCACCTCCACCAATACTCTCTCTCACACACACTCTCTCTCTCTGAATTTCTCTCTGTGTGTGTCCGATATTAACGAGTGTTTCGGTGATCAGTGATCCGGCAGCGGTTCAATCTATTTGTCTATTTTCAGCTCTCATCACATTTTCATTCTCCCTTTTTATTATCTATCACCCGATTGCGGTTCATTATCCTACCCCAAAAGCTACTGCATTTTCAGTCTCATTTCCCTATCACCTCCTCCTCCTGGAGGGCGGCTGGCGATGGCTGCTTCTGTGGTTTACGACTTTTAATTGATGTTAGTTTTTCCATAATTTATTGTTGCATTTTACGGTTTCATTTTAACCCTTTAATGGCCTGCCGTCCCCAGTTCTTCTTCGCTGGAAATCAAAAATTATGATATTTTTGAAAATTTTTATTACTCCGCGACTTGGCAGGAGTTTTGGGAGGGGGGCACCACAGAACGTGCCTGTCATCATCCGCCACCACAGAGCCCCTGCCCCTCATGGTCATTCTCATCCGGCTGATCAGCATCGTCATCTGTTCGATTTATGGCATTTGTGTGGAAACACTGGCACCGGCTCCAAGCATCTGTAACGGGACGGCGGACGGGGGCACTTTTACGACTCCAATCACGCTGCGACTGGGAAACCGGGAATCGATATCCCACAGCGGAAGAGTTTATGGGGAAAAGTATATTCAGACTTGTGAAAACTTTATTAATTGAGTTAGCGGGAATTCAGATCCAAGATTAAATGGATCTATACAAAATGACTTGGTTTATAACTCTGTGGAAATGGGATGGAAATAACGAAAAGGAACGCCAGGTGCAATATCTTTAAAAGAGCAGTAGAATAAAGTATTATGGCAATTAAATTATAATTTGAAGGGTTTTTTAAATTAATTTAAATAAATATTCTGTACCATCAAAAAGTGTCTTTTATTTTTAATATTATCTGGAAAGACCCTCAACATCTTATGCAGGAAACGCTCTGAATTCCGCATCCCTTGTCATAATTCCTGTAATGAGAATCAACTGAATTTGATCTACTTAATGAAGAATTTGCCAAAAGTTCAATGACAAACAATTCGTGGAACTCTCTTCGTTACTCCCAAAGTCGATGAATGGCGCCCACCACGGAACTACTCTTTCCCCCCAGAGCTGCCGCGTACCCTACCAGCACCCAGCAGCGGTTCTGAGAGAGATTCCTTGAAACCCGTTGTCCAAGTGGCGCTTAGACGGTCGCCCTGCCGCAGGCAATTTTCGGACATTTCTGGTGAGTAATTTCTGGTGTTTTTCGTGGAGGCTGCTGCTGCTTTTTTAATAAGTTATGCGAGGCAGAACCAGCAGCCAGCAGCCGAGGATGCAGAGGAGTGAAAGAGGTGGAAGAGGACCTCCATTTGGTTAGGGCTGCTGCTTCTCGATGTTGTTTTATAATGTGCCTGTCTTAATATGATTTTTGTCCCCATCCAATGGACATACTCGGGATTCCAGAAAGCATCTTTTAATGTTTCGAGGCTGGAATGAAGATGGGGCTGGGGCTGGGGCTGGTGGAGAGGATGACTCGTCAGCGGCTGTCTGCCGTTTGTCAAACTGTCATATGCTTGTCGCACGCTGGCCAAAAAAGAGGAGGCCTCAGCCTCGATATATTAGCTGAAATTTTAATTACCAACTGGGACCGGTACTGGGACTCAAACTGGTCCCGCTGACGCCACTCAAACGTGAGCTTCAACTGGAACTCTTTGGGGTTTTTGTTGTTTTTGTTGGTCATCGAAAATATTTTCCATGCTGAGCATTATAAAAGTTTAATTGATTGATTTATATATTGGTAGAAGTTGTCAAGGAGATGCCGGCTTTTTGCCAGCAGCCGAGCCGCTCTGCGGTAGTTCTCGGTCTTGCCTCCGGTATTCAGTTATTTTCTGTTCGGTTGAGAGTCCTCGTCCTGGTCCCGGGGCCCATTTAGGTAGGTGGTCAATGAAATACTTTGGCATTTCGTGTGGTTTGCTGACAAATCAATTTCGTATTTGTATCTTGGGCCAGTCAGTCACAGCGAGAGCGAGCGGCTAAGCCGAGCTAAGTGTCCTGTAAACTGTCTCAATAGCAACGCCCAGACAACTGTCCCTACTCCTTCTAATCCTACTACTCGGACTACTTCTTCCCAGCTGGACTTCGGCCGGCATGAAAGGAGGTTGGACAATGGCCCGGGGGGATCTTCGCTTTGAGTCGGGTCACCGCAGCACATCCAGCAAACAGGATCAATCACCGGAATCTCTCCCTGATCCGCAGGATCATGCGCGAAAATTAGTGCAAACTTCAGCACAAACGCGGCAGGTAGTCCAAGGCAAGCCAATGTCCAAGGCTCTAGGCGTGCTGACCGGAAAATCCGATCGAAGGGATTATAATTCCTACCAGGCAGGCAGGCAGGCAGCATCACACAGTCCACTCTCGCCGGCCCATTGTCCGCCTCTTGTTTTGCGACAATTAAGGCAAATATTTTGCGTACTAATTAAGCGTGGACTAAGTCCAGAAGAACATGGGCTCAGATCAAGGGTTCTCAGGCGATTTGCATATGGCGCGACGGATTTGCAGCCATTACCCTTTTGTTGCCAAAGGATGTGCCGGAGGGCGTTGCGTTTTCCGCCGGCTTATCGGGGCCTGCACTTCCCGGAAACCAACGCCGTCACGCTCCGATCGCATATCACGTCAGGTCTCGGTGTGGGCTCTGTGCTCTGGGCTGGGAATGATATGCAAATATTGACACCCATCATTTTTCAATATTTGAGCGTGAAATTGTGCATCCTTCGCATTCTGGTTCGGGTTAAGCAAAGGAGTAGGCGCAGAAACACTGCTCAAGGCTGGCTGGACAATGGCCATTCCTGTCGAGGTCATTTGTCTGTTCAGGGAAGCTGTTTGAGGGGCGGTGCCCAAGTCGACTGCAAAAGAGCCTAACAAATTATGGACATATGGCTTATACATACACACATACGTATGTATATTTTGACTATTACATTTTTTAGCTTTAATACATGTATGTACATTCTACATATTTATTCAAGCGATTCGTTGTCGTCGCTTGCACGGGCTGCTCCAGCACTGGTGTTGATATTCTGATAAGCGACATGCTCCATGCAGAACTTCTTGATACTTTCCACCGAGACTCCGTCCTTGGTCAGCTGCTCCCGCTGGGCGGGTGTGAGGTAGCACTGTATTTTGAGAGGCTCGAGAGTGGCGAGTGGTTTCTCCAGGATGATGTGTCGTATGTACTTGCAGATAAGTCGGTTGAGGCCGTTGGCTTTCAAGTACATGGCCCCCTGCCATAGCCGTAGCAGAGACTGATGGGATACGTTTAGGTAGTTGGCGAACCATGGCTTGAACTCCTCTTCATTATCCTCTTCGTCAAAGCGATCCGAAAACAAAGCGTCGAAGTCAGCCCATATCAAAATCTTAGACAGTTCCTTCGATTGTATACGAGGCAAATAGACATTTTGGGGCCTCTCGTCGTTCAATTCCAAACTGTCCATCAGTTCCATGAGCAGTCCGCATCGCTGGATAATTGGCAAGGCGATCCTGAATTTAATTCCATCGGCAGACATCAGCATATTAAATGCCATGGTTGATCTTTCTGAAATGAAAATTACAAAAATAAATGCAAAATTAACACAAAATATTAATATAAAAAGCAAGTTAAAACCTTCGGTGCGCCCCTAACCGCGAATAGTGCGGCGCAGTTGCAAGTTGTTATTTTTTTTTTGCTCTGTTACTCGCGAACCAAACGCTAGTCGTCTCACTTGCACTCACAAACGAAAGCGCTTCGCGGCATCGCAGAAATGTGAGGTTAAATGTGATTAAGAATAATCAGAATAAGAAATATGAACTTAAATTGTACTAATTAAACGTGGGCTTAGATTTGAGCAATCCCTATTAGCATTAACTGCTGCTGTTGACCTCCAGACGCGAATCGGAGTACTATAATTAGCACTAGCCGCGAACCGACAGGAATACAGAAATTTTTACATATGTACATATTTACACAGCAGAAACTGCCACACATTAGTTGCAAAAAATTGCGTTTCTGTGTTCTCTATTTTGCACTACGCACTCGCGGACTTCTTCGCTAACTTTGTTTACTTTTTGGGTAATAATTTGTACTCACCGTTTGGATTTTTCTTATTTTACACAAATTTCCCAAAGCTGAGTGACAGAAAAAAATAGAGCTGGAACAAAGGCAGGCGATGGCGCTTACGAGCAATGAGAATATCGAAAGCGTTATAGGGGGCATGGCATCGATTGTTTGTAGTTCCAAATTGGTTTGGTATTTGAACAAAAATACCAAAACGTGTGATAATTATTATAGGTTAGGTTTTTTTTTTTGCAAGAAGTAATTCCCTTCCCCTCATCAACGACAGTGGCCAGCGCTGACTCATATTCTCCCCTCATATATCAGGCAGGGCTCACTTCGCATTCTCATCCTTAATATTCACTTGTCCAAAACGCGAATGGGATGGGAGACCTGACCCTAAATACTCAACCCAACCAATTCAAAAGCCTAGAGTTACCAGTAAATATGCACAACATTTCCGGAACCAAACTTCCACTCAATCTACATGAAAGGATCGAAATGTTTCCGCTTAGCAGACAGTTATTTTTTGGCTCAGTCCGGAAGCGAGAAATCATCTTCGGCATGGGGCATGGGGCACGGGGCACGCGGCGATGACAGGCTATAACAGGATACAAAAAGGCGCAGACAGACACCACACCAGACACGGACCCCGAGACATGGGGCATATGCTGGCAGGATAATCGACGCTAAATAGCGGCACGCGGCCAACATTTTCCGGCCAGCGAGTACGAGTACGAGTACGATATGAATATGATTTGATCGAGATCTAACAAAACGCTGACTTCTTGTCGAACACGCAGCAGCACGCGAGGCGCGGCGCGGCGCGGCGCGGCGAGGGGTGAAACGCTCATTATGGAAAATAATTTCATAATTCGTGGGGTTGCTGCTGTTCGACGACAGCGACACCCCTCCCAGAGCCGACGACAATGTGTGAACAGAAGGGGGTTGCTCGGTGTGGCTATAATTTTATGAGCGATTCCATTATTAATATGTTGCCACTGGTAGACGTAGACCCCGGCACGTGGCAGGAAGGCGTTATGTTTACATTCCCCCGCCCCACCCCTTCCAGCACTCTCATAGATGTTATGAAATGATTTTGGCCCAATGTAAATATTGGCTCTGGCGCCGCTGGCGCAGGATTTGCTCACGCAGATTTGCACATTAATGTGCAATTATGAAAGGGGATGAGGTCCCAGGCGGAAGTAATAAGAAGTCGAATGGGAATATTGTGTTTGAATAGAAGAACACGGATATTATTATATTATTAGATATATTCCTGCGCAGGATCAATCTAAATTCTCCTTTTCCGTGTCATGTAGTTGGTTCGTGGGTCACAAAAAATAGATGCCCTCCTGGTACTTTCTCTTCCTGATACTTTCTCCCCTTCTCTCTCTGTTTCTATTGCCAGACGTTGGCCACAAATCAAAGTAAATGCAAAAAATTACTTCGACTTGAATGCATTTATGAAAACATTTTCCCATTTTCAGAGCTCTCTGTCTCCCTCTGCGGGAATGCATCTCCCTGCGCATCTGTTGGCCCTTCATTCCCATTTCGAATCCATTTCAAGTGATTTCACTTTCTCTTATTCTCATTCTATGGCTCTGTCTCTGGCTCTGTCTGCTGCTCTTTCTCCCACTGCAGCCTGCAACAAATCGAGGCGGCATGTAAACAAGGAAGCGTGGTGTAAAGTGTCGCTGGTGGCAATTGAACCTTCTCCTCCCACCACCGACTGCCTGCCTCCCTTCGTCTTCTGGCTGGGTCAACAAACTGTTCGACTCCAGCCTGCCCCACATCCTAATGCGCCATCCATCCCCAATGCTTTCTTCTTCTAGTTTGGGATGGAAATCATCCCCCAGCATGAAATCGATGCGATGCAATGGGATACGACGCCGACGATGTGTCTTCCCCCTCTGAGGTTTTTCATCTTCTCAATGAAGGTGAGCAAATGTTTAAATATGAGCATCAGGTTGGTGGATATGGATGTTTGCCAAGGATTTGCCAGGTCTTCAGTACCTTTACAAATTTACAGTGAACCAGGAGGGTGGTTATGGAATTGGGATAGGTTTGTTCTGCAGCTAGATCAAATGGTAGGTTATGAGGAGGCGGGAATTGGTTATTCAATCTTACCATAAATTCAAAAAGAAAAAAAAAAGAGTGCAAGGCATTTCTAGAGGATATTCGGGTAGTGTACTGTGCTCGCCTATAAATAGCTTACCATTAGCTGAAAACTAGCATTCGAAACAGCTGAAAAATTTAATAAAATATTTTAATTTAAAAATGTTAAAATGGCAATGGCAAATTATTTTTTCCCTTGAAATATAACAACTGATTAAATTGTTTATATTTCTGGTTTTAATATTGGCTTAAAACTATAACTGCATCACTTTTATCATCTTAACCAATACACATATCGAATGTAGAAGGACTCAAAGCTCAAATTCATATGTTATAATCTGCAATTAGACTCCTTCATTTAAATAACTCATCCAATGATATTTTACGTACAAATTCCAACCGCATGCGCTTCAGGGTTACGCAGCAGGCTATAAATAACAAAAAAAAAATACTTTCCATTAAAGTAAATCCGCGGTCTGCAAGTTAATTAGTTATTTCCATATGCTCGTATCCTAGAGCATTTATAACCCATCATAAGGCAATTAAGAATGCCCGAAATTAACCCAGGGATGCCTGGGCTGGCACGCAACATCAGCTCCTATGGAGAGAGAAAGGATTAGTCGGGTAATATTTTGGGGAACCAGAGCGGGACATTAGCGTGGATCACACACTGCGGCGGTGGCGGAAGCTTCTTCATCCAAAAATAGGATCCATCATTAGTTGCCGAAATTTATTGGAGCCGAGAGCAGAGCGCAGATGGAGCCCCGTGGCGGCGGCACGTTCCAAAACAATTTAGAAAATAATAAATAGCAAGCATAAATTAAATTATTGTAATATGGAGTTCTGGGTAAGCTTCTCGATGCATCGGGGACTGCGTCTGATGCGCAATTAAGTTAAGTCTCGACGGGCCATGGCCGCCCGAATCTGGCGATCACCGCCGATATGAGCGCCCCCCGAAATATGGAATAGATGGAGGGGACTGAGGGAATGTCAAAAACGCAATTATTTATACAAACTGAAACATTTTAAAATCAATTAGAAAATGTGGCGACGCATGGCGCATGACGAACCAACTGCCACTGCCGCTGCCACTGCCACCGGCTCATGCCCCATCACGATCCAATTCTCTCCGGGCACCGCACCCCAAGCTGTTCCACCCTCTATCGTTCCATCTTTTTGTTTATCCAAGCGGCACAGATGAAGTACCCGACTCCGATCCGTTGCGACTCCTCCTCTGAAGTGTTGCAGCCCGTTTGTCTGCAGCGCTTCGGCGAGGGAGATCCGCGCAGTCCGTAACATAATGATGTCAATGACAAATCACGGGCGCACGTCAAAAATCTGTCCTAAAATATTCGGGCTGTCAATTCGCCTGTGTCGCTGCGTCTAAAATTAGTTCCCAAATATTGTTACAAATGTGCTGAGTCCAAACAACTGGAGACTAATGAGAGAGGAGCGAGGCAGAACAGAACAGAACGGCACAGAGCACAGCCCGAGTCCTCTCAAGTGGGTGCCCAGCAATTTATGCATCTTGACTGAAAGACGAGGGAACAACAGTCCCGTTCCGTCCCCCAAAAGGCAGTCAATTGAACGGCAAACTGAATTACTTGAGAACACAAATACGAGTAAAATAACAAAAGTAATATCGAACATGAAACATATTTTGTTTTCCTGTCACAAAATGTCATAAATATTTATTTAAAGAAATTCATTTCATTTGCCAACCCTTTTGCATACAAAATGGATACACATTTAACAGACTTTAAGGTTTTCTGTATTTTAATATCAACCCAAATATATGCCAATCTGTTGTTACTTTCGTGCTATAAGTCGAGGATGAGAAAATTATTAGAAAATTAAAATATGGAACCGATCTTTACCACAACAAAACCAAGCAGATAATAATCTGCAGTTTTTCTGAGTAAGTAATTGAATAACTTATTACAAGTTTTACAAACATACTACATATATATATACTATATAAATAATTCTGGAACAACATTCAATGGGTTTCAATCACAAATTTCAATAGCTCCCTATTATTTTTATTATTTTTCAGTACTCTAGAATATTGTTGGTTATATTGTTGATTATATTCCGATTCATTTAAGTTTTTCTTTCCCATGTTTGGGGTAATTTAAGAGCCAATTCCCTCGCCCATTTTTTTCTTGCAATTCTATCACATTTAATGGAATTATTTGGGTATCTGTCATAACACCTTCAACCAGCTACTCACACGCGAAAACAGCTGTCGAAAATGAGGGAAAAGCAGAACCAAAGTATGCCAAAAGTACCTTAAAAAAATATAAGTGGCAGTCCTCAGGCGACAGGCGACACGAATCGAGAGCCTCCCGAAGCGCTGAGAAGGCGCATCAAATCCTCTGACAGATGACACGGAAATTCGCTTTTTGCCGGCCACTCGGGATGAGACGGGCAGAACAGAGCAGAACAGAACAGAACAGAACAGAAGAGTAGAGAAACCCTTTCGCGAGACGAATATGGAGTAATATTAATCTTGTGCCCCTCTGGCATGGTGATGCATCAAACAAGATTGACAATGCCTCATTCAGATCAATAACTGGCGGCCTGTTAACTGTCGAGTCAACCCCCGAATGAAAATTTGGTGACATTCGCAAAAAAGAAAAGGGAACAGGGCAGGCCAGGAGCAGGAGCAGGGGGCAGTGGCGCAATGGCAATTTTTGCAACCCTTTCTGGGTTCGGGGCTGTAAAAAATTGCGCCACTCGAGGGCAAGCGGAACGAACAAGTGCCGGACCGTGGGGAGGATTATGTTATGGCCCGGCAAAAGCGGAAATCAAATTAAGCGAAAATATGTTCTTCCAATGAGTTTTTTGTCCTCTCAGCTACTGCATTAAATTAATCAATTTAACCAGTGGACAAGAGGAATGGATTGAAGGGCAGAGACAGCCTCGCGTCCGATCGGGCCACACCATTAGCATGATTTAGTGCGGCGACCCGACCCCGCGGCTTCATTAGCATAAAACAGTTCTTATGGCCATTCTAGGAAACCGCCCCAGCCCCCCCCCTGCCCAGCAGAAAACAACAAAACATTTCTCCCAAATACACTTGGGATACTGGAGATCAGAGTTGGCCTGGCCTGGTGAGAGCGCGGCAGCGGTTACTGTATAATTTTTATGATATTGCCCGATTGTCTGTTCGGGGGTCTGGCTTTATTTGTTTTTACTGTCAAACCTCTGGCTGGGCAAGAAACATTTAATACTCAATTAATTCATCAGTGGGACTTGGAACGAACCGTCAGTCAGGCAGTCAGTCAGTCACTCAATCTTCTCAGTCATCAAAATTCGTTTGCTTTTTATGATTTCGGGCGAAATTTGTATGTGTGTGTGTGTGTGTGTGTTTTTTTCGATTCCTCATTCCTTAGTGTGTTTCTTTTTTCCCTGATTTCGTGAGTGTTTTTGTGTTAAATTTAATTTATTTACATTGAAATTCAATATTTGTTAAATGTATTTTTAATTTTACTGCTGTTGATTATTACTGACCGATCTGATGAAAAGGAATTCCATCTTTATTGGTTCAGCACCATTAAAATCCATCACCCAAATGGAATAGATCGCCCCGTTCTTGATACTGTTGGACCCTGTTGCCCGGGTGTTGGGCGCACCATTGGAATATGACACATGGCAAACACCTCGTAAGCTTTTCCCATTTTATGGACTGCGAAGAACTTTCGTAGGAGTTCATCGACTCGCCGGGGAAATTTGTTGTTTAATTAATTCGATTTAATGTGCTTAGCTCTTTAATTTCAGAGATTGTTGGACCTTCGGCAGCATATGTTCAGAGCGGTCTGGAGGCTCACCGCGAAGTTTGTGAAAACGGATCGCTTTACACACGGCTGGGGGCTGTCCTGCATAAGGCCTGGAACTGGAAAACCCTGGAAATGCATAAAAGTGAGTGGAATAAAACATTTTGTTCATAAATATTTGAGATGTTCAAAGCAAGCAACAAATTTTCGGAGCTGCATTCACAGTTGGTTGGGAGTCGATTGACCTCAAGGACCCCGTCAAAGGAGATCGGGAAGGTGATCAAATAGTTCTTGGTGTGTCATAGCTCATACTTTTTGCCTTAATGGTGGCCGTCATCGAGAAGATTCGCTGAATTGTCACTTGGATAAAGAATTTCCACATCCCCCACCTCACTGAAAAGAGATGCATCTTTGCAAAATTGCCGTTCTGCCACCAGTCTAAGCTAAACAAATGCTAAAATATGCCCAACATATTTTGAAAATATAGAACTAACCAAAAAAATAAAATAGGTACAATTACACTTGTTATATTCGATTTAATTTATATTAAATTTATATGATAAATAAAGTCGCGCTGTAAAGTAAGAATAACTTACAAATATAATTTTGTTCTAAATTATTCTTAAAGATAAAATTTCCACCGCTCAATCTGTTGTATCACGTGTTTCATCCATTTTCAAATTGGAGCCGAGCCGAGCCGAGCTCCGATCGGGGGACTCACTTGGATTGTAAATGTGCCCAAATGGCAAACAACTTCCGATTAACCATTCGATTGTTCGCATCAATTGGAGAACCCGATAGCCTGGCGTTACACGGGCCTTCTGTTTTGGTTTCGTGTGCGCCCTGCCATCAGGATACCGAAAACGTTCCAATCTGGGCCCCACAAAAAGGGAATAGACAATGCACTCAGCCCCCTGTCCCCCTGTCAGTCCAGGGCCTGTGTCCCAGAAAAAAATTCGAAACAAAAACCCCAAAACCCCAACTCTGTTACAGTCCCAAAAGGAGCGCAAATATGTGGATATGGTGGGGTAGGTAGGTGACTGCAAAGGTAGAGGGGCTGGTGCCGCAGGGAGGGGGCAATGCATTTGCGGAAATGTGTGCACAACATGCAACATAAATGGAAATGCCGTTTGGAAAACATATTGTTTTTGGTCCGTCCCGTCCGCCTGTCCGCCTGCCCTCCCACCGATCCCATCGGTTTCCAGCCCCAAAATGCACTAATTTTCCTAACGCGCCCCATGGGGTATACCCCAACCGATGTGCACTGCACTGCACTAGGGTGTAATGGAGGGGGTGTGGGTGGGTGGTTGGGTGGTGCAGTTGGTCTGAGCCATTTGCTGCAGCGGCTGGCGCACATTTTAGAAATTGGACGGCATTTTTCGTTGAATTGTGTGCTGATTGTAATTCATTCCATGTGTGTGTGTGTGTGTGTGTGTGTGTGTGTGTGCTCTGTGTGTTTGGCCAGTGTACACATTCAGCTCCTCTCTGTGAGCCTCCCCCCCTCCCCGCCCACACACACACACACACAGACAGAGAGAGAAAATTTGAAAATTTTGATTGCATGTTTCGATACAAAATGGCGCTGCAAAAACGAACTCGAACTGATGATGAGGCATGCCAATCCTGACGAGGATGGGCAGCGCTCGCTACCGCTCTCTCACTCCCTCTCTCTCTCTGGTAAGGATTGCCCAGTGGTTTGTGCATGAGTGGTGGGAGGGGTGGGGTGGGGTTCGTTTTTGGGTACCAAATTGCAGTGCGTCCGTTGTGCGTTGGATCCGGCGGAGTGTGGCTGTGGACCCGGGACCCGGGACCCGGGACTTTGGTGCGTTGCCAGAGCCTGGGTGCAAATGTGCATTTTAGATCGACGAAGCGTAAATTAGGATTTCAAAATGACATTTGGAATATTTACGACTTTGCTGGCCATAGACCCATAGACCCTATGGCCAGAACGAGCAGCAGGCTCACCCAATCCCAATCCAAATCCCCCCACCACCATCGCCCCCCCGGCAGCCGTTCGTTGTTGTTCATGGTAATTGCGTAGCCGGTTGCTCGATGATGCCGCTGCCAAAGGTCTGTCCAGGTCCATCTCCCTGGCGATGCCTATCTGCTTTGTGTGCACAGGTAAAAGAGAGTCGGTTGTCGGTGGTCGGTCGTTGGCTGCCATATGGGCGGTTGGGGGGTGCTCGGGTGGGTGGTGTGATGGCCAGATGCCAAAAGCGCCCTTTGTTGAATTATGCAACTTAAAATTTGGCACAAGTCCGTCTCAAAATTGCCAAAACAGAAGCTTTTGATTGGAAAATTGTTTGATTGGTTGCAATTTCGTATTTAAATATTTTCACAAGCCCACAAAGGGCGCCGATCCGGCTCCATTCGGAGGAACACAGAAAAAATTGTTGTTTTTTTTCCTCACTCCCGCTCGTATCCTAGATAAAAAAAAAAGTTTCTGGTATCCAAACATGCAAAACCACTCACAATTCCGTTAAATTTGGCCAAGTTCTATGGGTAATCAATCTCAGGCATTTCGTTTTCATATAAAAGTCAAACTTGTCGTGCGCCCAGAGCGCAAAAAATGAAATCCAAACCATCAGGATGGGGGAGTCACCGCACACCACACACAGATTCGCATTCGCATTGGCATTGGCAGCACCGTCACAGAGCCATCACTGTCTACCGACTTCAAAATAGACTCTCGACAAACAGCAAAAAAAAAAAACAACAACAACAAAAAGTAGAAACATAATCAACAAGAGCAACAACAATGGGCAGAAATCGAGCACGGAAAAGTAAAATTATACAAGTAGGCAATGTAGACTCGATACAATGTAGAGTCGGGTCTGTATAGACAATGGAATACCCCTTGTGCCGCGTATATGTACGGAATAATTCCGAGTGCAATTATGTTTAGAAGGATCCTTCGGAATCAAACAGAATTGCATAAAAGGCGGCATAAAAGGTCATTGAAATCGTAAGAGGATTACTCTCACGGTTTATTATATTCAGATATAAACACAGATAGATCCAAATGACTTCTGGTTAAATCAGCAATAAATGTAGGAACTCTACAAAGATTTTGCATGCATTTTAATGTAACCAATATACCAATTTTCTCTCTTGCCAAATGCCAGGTACACCAAGTACCAAAAAACTCACTTACAAACACATCCATAAGTTGACGTATGTACATATGTACGTATGTACATATATGTTTTGTATATTTTCCATTTTCACCGAAATAAATAAACATCATCAATGTCAAATGGAAATCACTCGCATTGGCAGGGCAGCACAGCGCCCGCAGAGCATCGAATCGAAATGGAATTGGTTGGGGGTTTGATTGGGGAGGGGCGCCCATGGCATTTGCTTTTTATGAAACTATTTCAAAATGTGAAACCAATTCGCATAAAATTTTGTCAGCAGCGTCCATGTGACATGTGAAATGAAACCAAATAAGAAAGTTTTCCCCGAGCCATCACATCACAGGGACACGACACGGCGTAAGAGCGGCACTGAGGAACTGGGGGAGCGAGAAATAAAATATATAAAAATAAATGTCAATATCTGTGTGCTCCTGCGTTCGCCCGTCCGTTTGTCCGTTTGTCCGTCCGTTTGTCGGGTGTTTATTGACATTTTGGCAAACGAAAAACGCAAATCCGTGAGCGAATCTCTCGCCGTTTTGCCCTGCGTATCCGCCAGGGAGGTCTGCAGCGGCTCGTCGTCATCATCGTGGCTGTTTTTTATTTCCCCTGTCTCGGCTGGAAAACATATTTGAAAACCATTGGCACATGTCCTTATGAATGATGTGCTAATGTGACAGACGGCGATATGTGTCCCTGTGTGTGTGTGTGTCTCCCTGTCTCCCTGTGTCCCTGTGTCCTTGCGTGTGTGGCTGATGTAGGTGGTAGCCTGGAGACTGTTCTGGTGACTGGTTACAGGGCTGGAAATTCCATTAAAAAGTCAAAACGGTCTTGGTTTCCCTTACTTGTTGCAGTTGGAGCTTTGTTTAAGTTAGAATTTAATATCTTCTAATCGCTTCTATTGATAGTATTTTAATGAGACGACCGGCAGCCCTTTATGGGACTCTCAGTGAGCTCGATTACAGAATGGGAAACATTCTCCGCCAGTCCAGACCCCACACCATAATTAGAGGCAATTGTCGGGCGCGCTGCTCCATTCCATTCCATCCACGAATCGTATGAAAATCAAAACCTCCCCAGGGCTGCATAAATTAAAGGCTTGGCTCGACAACAACAACAACAACACAACAGAAAAAGTCAAATAAAATCTGCACCGGCTCGAATGATTCCCCTCGCCACTCCAATCGCCATTCCCCCCACCGAATCACGTGCTGGCTGGCAGGCAACAAAAAATCGCTCTGGGACAATGACAGGCCCCAAAAGCGGCTGCCAGGACACTCTCTCCACGCTCCCGTAACGGCATATCCTTGGGAGAATGTTGCAGCGCCACAGAATTCCAAGAAAATGCTACAGTTTTCCCTTCCTTCGGATAGGGGGGGATGCAGACACGCGGCGTGTGACATTTATCAAAAAAAAAAAAAAAAAAAAAAAGAAAAGAAAGAAGAAAAAAAAACGAGACTTTGGAAAAAAAGAAACCGAAACGGAGACGGAGATGGAGACAGGAATTGTGATTGATCGGCGGGCAAGTGTTTACCCTCCCCGTGGATTGAGATGGAAATGGGACTCAAATATGCTGCAGGGCGGTGGGGTGAGGTGGGGATGCCATTAGCATTGACCTTTGGCACGTGTGGCACATGAATAACCCTTTGGGAATGTGTGTTCCACTCCCAGCCACTTTTTATTGGCCCAAATCAATCATTATCGGTGCGCCGCAGTCATAAGTGAAAATTCCAGTTGCCATAAAAAGTGTTTGCCAGGCCTCTGCCTGTCCAGAGTATGTCCAGAGTTTATCACTGTAATAAACATGCGGCCGAGTTGCCGATTTATTCACGACTATCCACAAATTTATTAATTGCAAAGGACCATAAATACAGGCCCCCCCCCCACCACCCACCACGGGCCACAGGGTAACTTTATGACGAATGTTGGACATGAGGCGACCTGCCAAACGATGTTGCGGAATCGAAGTTAGACTGCATCTGCGACTGCGACTGCGTCCGAGTTGTGCCCGTGCCTGTGCCTGTGCCTGTGCCACATGCTGCGATTTATGGTTGCCTCGGTTGCCTCGGTTGCTGCTTGTTCGGCTCGTGTTCGTGTCTCTGTGTCTCTGCTGCAGTTGCAATCAAAATGAAAATCGAACGGCATCATTATCTTTCGACCAATGCTCATAACTCAGCGGAAGCGGCAGACACACTGAGATCCCACAGATCCATCAAATGGTGTCTACCTGCAGAGTCGTCACACGGGTACGGCTACGGTTATGCGGAGGGGCGCTGCCCACAGCCGTGTAACCTTGGCGACAAGTCCAGTCCACGTCCAAGTCCAACTCCAAGTGCAGTGCCCAAGCTCGGCTCCAACTGTGCATTGTCATAA